TTTCTCAATCCTAGTTTGGCTCTTACTTTTTGTTTCCCACTATCCCATCTACTTCTGAAATGCTGCTGCCTTATTTTACACATTAGATGCTAGTTCCTTGCTTTGCCCTTGAATTTTCTCCTTTGCAGGCTCCATCCACTCTGGTGGCTTCATCCACGTGCAGAAGGTTGCCAGGTCTGCATCTTGAGTCGACCCCTGAGCTCCTTGCTCGTGGACCCACTCGACTGGATGCCCTGCAGGCATCACACGTGTCCCCACCTGCATGGTCACTCACCACCCCTCACCCCATCCTCACCCCATAACCCTCCTCCTGCATCACTCAGGGGAATGGCACCATCATCCACAGAGCTGCCCAGAGAGAAAAGCTAGATTCTGTTCACGACCACACTCTTTGTCACCCCTGTCTCTAAACAGTCACCAAGCCTTGCTTCTCCCACACCCCCACAGCCACTGTAGTCGGGGTGTCTCCCTGCCTCAAGATGGTCACGACTAATCTCCATTCACCCTGCCTCCCGCCTGGCCTCTCACTAGTCCTTTCTCCACACTTTGCAAGAAGGCCATGGCCTTCATCTTCCCCAAACTTCTCCCTGCATCTGTACCACTCACTCTGCCTTGTTCATGTCACCATGGACAAGGTGGCCATGCTGCTACCAAGGGCTGACCCCTACCATCTGCCAGAGGATCTTGCTTCCAGAATTATCCTCAGCCTTAGCTGTCGGTTTCCCCTCTGCTGCAGCGTGTACAGACATGTTCCCGTTTCTCCTGCCTCTATAAACTCTCTCTGACATTCCTCATCTTTCTCCAGCTACCAGCCCATTCGTCTGCTTCCCTTCATAGAAAAGATCTTTTGCAGGGCGCCTGGGTGGCTCAGTCAGTTGAGCGACCTGCTCTTGATTTCAGCTCAGGTCCTGATCTCAGGGTCGTGGGATCGAGCCCGGCATTTGGCTCTGCACTGAGTGTGGAGCCTACTTAAGATTCTGTGTCTCCCTCTGCCCCTCTCCCCTGCTCAGGTGCATGCTTTGTCTCTAAAATGAAAGGAAGGAGGAAAGAAAGACGGAAGGGAAGGAAAGAGGAAAGAAAGAAGGAAGAGAAGGGAAGGAAAGGAAGGAAAAGATTTCTGAAAGAGTCCGTGGTCGCCGTCTGTGCTTCCTCCCCTTTCTCTCCTCAGTCCTGAGGGAAACTGCTGGGTAGGGTCACCAGTGCCCTCCTTGTTGCCACACGCAGGTCTTTATCATTCTGCTAGTTGACTCTCAGCGACATCTGACCCAACTGAGCATTCTGTCCTCCGCAAAACACTCTTTGCTTCCGAGACCCCTCCGACCTCCCTGGCCAGATATCTTTGCACGTCTCCTGTTCTGGCTCCTCCGTGGCAGACCCGGAAACGTGGGAACATCCAGTGGCTTCCCACTTGGACCCATCTGTCCTCTTTCCGTCCTCGGTCCCTCGCTCCGCTCACCTCGTCCTCGGCATTTTCAAACAACCATACAATCTGTTGCCAGATTTGCCTCACAGCTGCATGTTGTGCGTCGTCGGTCGTGGGTTCGAGAGGCACGTCCGCGACCGTGGCTCAACTACTCGGGGTTCCCGCGCCTCCGACGCCCCCTCCGTCTGTCTTTCCCACTTCGGCCAGTCCCTCTCCACCCCCCCCCCCCCCACGGCTGTTCCAGCCAAACCCCGGCAGAGACTCATCGTGGGTTCCTTCACTTCCCTTTATCCCCTTCGTCTCATCCGTGGGCCAGTTCTGCTTGTAAGCGGTGCTGCGAGACACAGCTGGCTCCTCTCGTGGCCCCACCTCCACTGGCCTTTTGCCCAGCGCCCTGGAAGTTTCCCGGCCTCTCCTTCCCTTCCCCTGAATGTCTCCTCCGCGCAGCGGCTGGCAGCTGGGGATACTCGGAAGGTCTAAGTCGGATCGCGTCACTCCTCTGAAAAACCCTGCGGCGGCTCCCACTGAAGAGGTCGGCGGTCGCGCCCTGCCCCCTGCTCCCGGCTCCTCCGGAACCGCCACGGCCACCGCCCCCACGCGCTGCGCCACACCAGCCTCTCCCCTTGGGCCCCTTCCTCCAGCCGGGCCTGGACCCTCCCTCCCCAGGTCTGCGCTCCGCCGCTCTGGCGTGACATTTAGAGTTTCAGCCCAAATTTATTTCACCTCCTCAGAGAAGCTTCCCCAGACCATCTGGTCCGAAATACAGTAGCCTCTTTACTCCCACCACTCAGTTCCTCTCTGACAGCATCCTGTTTTCTTCTCTTCACAGCACGATTGCAAAAGGAAGTTCTCTTGACCATTTTCTGGTCTCATCTGTCCTCACAAAAAGAATGTCAGTTTTGAGAATAGAGACCTCATTTGATTTGTTCACTGTTGTATTCTCAGCACCTGTAACAGTGCCTAGCACAGAGGGTGCCCCCTCGGGCACACAGTTTCTGCCATGTCAGTGGCTCGCTGTTCCCTTGAGAATAAAATCCACGTTCCCTGAGATGGTGTGGCCCCTCCGTGATCTGGCCCCCACTTCTTCTTTCGCCCGTTGGTTCCTAATGGGGGCAGTTTTGTCTTCCCCTCCCTGCCGAAGAAAGATATTTGACAGTATCTGGAGACATTTTTGGTTGTCCTAACTGGGGGAGATGGCAGCTAGTGGATGGAGGCCAGGGATGCGGTTCCCCACCCAGCGCTGCACTGGCAGGCCCCACACGGCAATCTGGTGCCCGTGGCACTAGTGCTGCGGTTGAGAGTGGCCCTTTCTCTCTGTTACGCCCAGAGCTCGAGCCAGGCTGAGAGGCCTTGTTCTTCCTGGCCTCTGAGCCCTGTCCCTGCTGATCTCCCCGCTGAGCACCCCTCGCCCTTCCTACCGTTCCTGGTGCTGGCTCTGGTCTTTGCCTGATTGGAGTCTTGAGGCAAACTAATCTTTAAACTTCACAACAGGGAGTTCATCCATTTGGGCAGTTTTGAAATTATAAAGGTAACTTCTACCATTAGGCAAATTTAAGTTTGTACCTAAATTGAAGATAACTCCCATATACAAACATTCTTCATATCTTTTTTTTTTTTTTGATGAATAGAACTGTTATCCAGGACTGTGGTATTATTTATATGAATCCAATCACAGAGAATACTTGGAGTGAATTAATAAAACCACACCTATTCAGTTAGAGCCTATAGCCATAAAATTAAATTTTGTCAGTTTTTAGCTACAATTTGGGATGTTTAAACACTTACCAGTGAATTTTAATGGCCTTGTTTTCATGTTTTGTCCTACATTAAAATATTTCCTTTTTTTCCTTTTGAATTATTAATACATGTAGCTCTTTTAAGTGCATCAAAGATTGTGTGTAGATGATATCTTTATCTTTTTATTTTTTTAATGTTTTATTTTTGAGAAAGAGAGAACAGGAGCAGGGGAAGGGCAGGGGGTGGGGGGTTGGGTGGGAAGAGAATCCCAAGCAGCCTCCGTGCTGTCAACACAGAGCCTGAGACAAGGGTCAAACCCATGAACCATGAGATCATGACCTGAGCCAAAGTCAGATGCTTAACCAACTGAGCCACCCAGGCACCCCTATTTTTATGTATGTATGTATGTATGTATGTATGAGGGTGCATGAGCAGGGGAGGGGACAGAAAGAGAGAGAGAGAGAGAATATCTCAAGCAGGCTCCACCCTCAGTGCAGAGCCCAACATGAGGCTTGATCCCACAACCCTGGAATCATGACCTGAGCTGAAATCAAAAGTTGGCCTCTCAACCGACTGAAGCACCCAGATACCCTAGATGATGTCTTTAAAGAACAGAAGTGGGATTTGGGTTCTTTATTAGCTGAATTTGCCAATTCCTGTTATGATATTTGAATACCGTAAATGGAAGTTGACCCCAATGTTGTTTTGCAGTGACAGTCTACCTTTGTTCTATCAGGAGACAAAGCTGTGTGGCCCTGCTTTTGTCCCTCCCCAACATTCCCCGTATTGCTGACAAAGGAAACTACATAAGGTGCCGGTATTTCTAAACACCCCCACACAAGGATTACCGAGTTGTATAGATTTTAGTTCATGAGCAAGAGAATCATAGCCCACTAATTTGTTTTAAAACTACGATTTGCATTTTATGATTTTTAAATCACAAAGAAGACTTTTAAAATAATTGTGTTTATATAATGCTCTACTTGCTTGCTGGTGAGTTTATAGCTTATAATATTAATTAACAATTCTTTCATTGCAACTTCTTTTTTTTTTTTTTTTTTTCAAATCAAGGGTTTTATGCAGTGGTTACTTTTTAAAAAGCTTTCCAAAGAACAAAATATTTGTTTAAAGAATGAAAATATTCTTTCCGCCATTGCATATTTATTTTACTGTGTTTCTAGCACTGTAGAATTTCTTTCTTTTATTATTACTGTTTATTTTTTATTTTTTATTTTTTTGTGTGTTCTAACTTGGTAAAGGGAGGTATTGGCTTAGGCTTTGGAAACAGTTAAGAAATCTTTTAGCCTATCCATAGCTTTGTCTAAAATTTATACATCAGCCTTGCTAAGAAACCCCCAACAGGCATCTACACATTTTACCTACCCCTTCATTTAGAACTCTGGTACTAGGTGGATTCTCCAGCCATGCCTTTCTGTTTCTCTCACCTTTAGCCTTACTTCACTCAGTTCTATACTCATTCCTTTTTTTCTTTTCAAGATTTTTATTTTTTTAAAGTAATCTCTATGTCCAGCGTAGGTTTGAACTCACAACCTTAGATCAAGAGTCGTATGCTCTATTGACTGAGCCAGCCAGGCACTCCTCTACTCCTTCTTTTCTACCATGACTATTTACTGAATTTGCTTGCCAAGCTGTGTTCTTGAGGATAGTGATATGCTATAAATAAAAGGTGATCCCTTTGGAGTGACAGATTCATATGTAATTACACTTAATTGTGTGTGAGAAATCCTATGATGGAGAAAGGTGCAAAAGACACTGGTGGCGTAGGATTTTTAAAAGTCAGTTCTGCTGGGGGGTGGGGTGGGGGGGTGTGGATTGTACAAGACTGAGAGGATGGAATATTTGGACCAGACTCCTAGATAGAAAAAGGGCCAGAGAGCTGGGGATGAGAGTCCAGACAGGTGGAGTAGAATGGCTTAGTTGGAACAATTTGTGGTCCAGAGACTTGTTGGTCATCTTTTATTTCCTGCTTCCTCCTTCCTAGGTGATGTAATCAAGCATCCTCCTCCCATCAGCAATAATATTATACTGCCTTTTGAATAGATCATTTGAGTTAGGTTTTCCATTCGAAAGGAATAAGGAACCACCTCAGACAGGTCATTAGGGAGTTGTCTGGCTGTATCTGACTTCGCACATCTTTGAGTAGACCTAAATCTGCTGTGGCGGTCATGTACATGTCTTTGTCTTTCTCAGTTCTTCCCTTCTTAGCTCAAGACTTACTGTAAATAAAAAGCTGCTTTGTTTGAGGTATTTTTACTTTGGAGAGTGTTATTTTCTCAAAATTGATTTAGTTGTGGCTAAGGGGAAAAGCTGAAGAGGCAGCTGTCAGAGATTTTATTTCTGAAGAGGTTCAAACTCTAGAAAGAAAATTACTATAGAAAGAAGTCATCTAGCCAAGAGTTGTTAGGTGCTTGAATTTCATCCTCAAGAACACTTATCTTGGAAAATGACTTGACTGGTCAAAGGAATCATTATAGGAAGAAGGTGGGACCAGGCATCAGGTTTAAATATTTCTATTCTGCCTGGGATAGAAGAAACTACAGCTATCAAAAGTTGGTCTTTTAAAAGGATCCCTCTGTGACGTTAGCCACCATTAAATAAGGATGATTGTTTTTAAAATTGCAGTTGTTAATTTGGCAAATGGTTACCATAAAACTGACTACCAGTGTGGAGAGAACTCATGTTTGTGATGCTGTCACCACTCTGTGTATCATGGAGCTTGTGGCCCTGTGCCATCTAAACAGTATGTCTGGTCCCTGCTAGAGTGCTGAGTCCCACCGAAACAGGGTTGCAGGAACCCCACTAATTGCCACACTTTCCCACCCCTCACCAACTGCTTTGCTCATTGTTCCTCTCTTCCTGGACTGCACTGCGGTGACACAAGAATATAGATTTCTAAGTCCTGAATATAAAATATTCATTTTGTGGAGATTTGGTGTTCTGAAACTGAAATCTTTTTTCTGACTGGGAGGGGGCTGTGTGTGCCAAGAGCCCTATTAGGGAAGAGCATATTGCTTTTTTTTTTTTTTTTTTTTTTTTTAACATTTATTTTTGAGAAACAGAGAGAGACAGAGCATGGGTGGGGGAGGGGCCGAGAGAGAGGGAGACACAGAATCCGAAACAGGCTCCAGGCTCTGACCTGAGCCGAAGTTGAACGCTTAACTGACTGAGCGCCCCAAGAGCATATTGCTCTTAAAAGGAGAGGAGAACTTTGAGGAATTATTACATGGTCAGAGTTGTTTTATAAGTGGGGAGAAAGTGCCACTATTTTTATTTGACTTTCGTAGCTTACTGGGTTTATTAGGGTATATATTTATATTTCATCAGATGTAAAGTTGCTATCTCCTTAGAAACTTCAAATCAAGTTCAGAAGACTGACCAGAGAAATGCAGTGGAAAGCAAGAGATACTGATATTTATTTTACTGCTTTAATCAATAATCTGATCTGTGCGTTGGTCAAAATTTGCCAGTTTAAAGACCTTTAACATAGATCTTCATTTGAATAGAAGGCTACATCCCCACCTTTCTACCTGGGAAATTTTGAATCAGGACTGTGAATCACACGGTTTCCTTTGGCATGAGAAAGTAGTAACGGCATCTCCCTTTGAGTTTCTACTGTTGGACTAGCTCACAGTCGGCCCCTTCCCCTTTTTGCCAGCGCTGTGACTCCCCCCACCCCCCGCCCCAGTTGTGGATCATGGTCGTGACTGGTACAAAGGCAGTGGAACCTCTCCAAATAGAAAATTCTCCAATTGGATACAACTTAAAACAGGAGCCCCGCTTCTCCTACAGACGCAGAAAAATGGTGAAGGCGGCCGTTTGGAGACAGAGCACACGTACCTTATTCTTTCCGGCAGGGATACAGTTCAGAAAATCTAACCCTATTTTTATCTGTACCTACTGGAATTATTTCTACTTGGCATCTGTAGCAAAAATAGAAAATCCGTAATCCCGGGGATCTGGGTTGGCCCATTATACAAGTTAGAAATGGAAGAGAATTCATGTGTGTAAAACAATCTACAGAATTAATTTGCCAGAGAACCCCTTTTACCACCCCAGCCTGAGCAGACATGCAAAGTACCACTCTGGAGGCCCTTGAGATGCCACGCGAGCCTGCCGACTGGCACAGCTGCGGTAGTGGGCTGCGGGGCCCTCCGACGCCGCGGCCACGCACAGCCGAAGTAGTTGGGGGGGGGCGGGATGCGGTGCCATCCAACTGCCACGGCCGCGCGCAGTCGCAGTAGTGGACGGGGGGGGGGGGGGGGGAGGGGGGCGGGACCTTCCAACCGCCGAGGCCTCGAGCCACCGCAGTAGCAGGTGCAGGAGGTGTCTAACGGTCACCTGCTGCTCTGTGCCCTCAGGTCACAGAGCTTGTCTGCAGTTTGCTTCCTTTCTCTCCCTCCACCTCGTGAGTGAGTAGCCATGAACTGGTCTGTGGGAGTCCTGCGGGCCGGCCGGAGAGTGGAGGCTGCGAGAGTGAATTTCCTGTGCCCGAGGGGGGCGCTGTGTCCCCGCCAGCCGGCAGGCATCTCCCTTCCGGTCGCCTGGCCCGTCACCCTCGTGTCCAGGATGGCGACCATCAAGTGTGAGCTTATCAAGAATTTCACCTCCGAGGAGGCCGTTCATCACAACAAAGTCTCCATTACAGGAACCGGATCGGTTGGCATGGCCTGTGCTATCAGCATCCTGTTAAAGGGCTTGACCGATGAACTTGCCCTTGTGGATGTTGATGAAGACAAACTGAAGGGTGAGACCATGGATCTGCAACATGGCAGTCCGTTCGTGAAAATGCCAACTATTGCCTCCAGCAAAGATTACCTTGTCACTGCAAACTCCAACCTTGTGGTCATCACAGCAGGTGCACGCCAGGAAAAAGGAGAAACACGGCTTAATTTAGTCCAGCGCAACGTGGCCATCTTTAAGTTAATGATTTCCAATATTATCCAGTATAGCCCTCGCTGCAAACTGATTGTTGTTTCCAATCCAGTAGATATATTAACTTACGTGGCCTGGAAATTGAGTGGATTTCCCCAAAACCGTGTTATTGGAAGTGGTTGTAATCTGGACACTGCCCGTTTCCGTTTCTTGATTGGGCAAAAGCTTGGTATTCACTCTGAAAGCTGTCATGGGTGGGTCCTTGGAGAGCATGGAGATTCCAGTGTCCCTGTGTGGAGTGGAGTGAACATCGCTGGTGTCCCTCTGAAGGATTTGAGTTCAGATATAGGAACTGATAACGATCCCGAGAAGTGGAAAAATGTCCACAAAGATGTAATTGCCAGTGCCTATGAGATTATTAAAATGAAAGGTTATACTAATTGGGCCATTGGCTTATCTGTAGCTGATTTAACGGAAAGCATTTTGAGGAATCTTAGAAGAGTGCACCCAGTTTCCACCATAATTAAGGGTCTGTATGGGATAAACAAAGAAGTATTCCTCAGTGTTCCATGTGTCTTGGGAGAGAGTGGTATCGCAGACCTTGTAAAGGTGACGCTGACCCCTGAAGAACAGGCCCGTCTGAAGAAGAGTGCAGAAACACTGTGGGAAATTCAGAAGGAGCTTGAGCTTTAAAGTTGTTTGAAACAATCTTTCAGAAGTTATTGAAGAGATAGTAGGTGTGGGGTTGTATATGTCAAATTTTTTAATAAACTTGAAATTGCTAGAAGTTGGAAATAGGAAAGGAAGTACAGTGACTCATCTGTTTATTCCCCAGCTTTTTTACTTAGCATACAGATGTCAGGATGATTTTTTTTTCCCCACACAATTCCTAAGTGACTGCATCAAAGGTGTTTTTGTACCACTGATGTGCCAGTACTTGCCATAGACAGAGAGTTGCTATTTGGTCCAAAAGGATAAAGGATATAGGTGTTTATTGTGTTACAGAAATGATAATTTTCATTAAGTACATGTTAATTGTTTCATTCTGGCTGGCTTACACCTACTGTGTTCATTTATATACTGTTTTTAAGAAGTTGTGACTTTCTCTACAATGTAAAAATAAACAGACAGACAGAAGTACTGTAAAGGAGCCATCAGCTGCCTTCGTGCCCCTGTGACAACCTTTCCGGTGGGCCTTAAAAAAAGGCATTATAAAATGAGAGCTGCGAGTAGGGCCTGTGTGTTGGGAGAAGGGGGTGCACATGTACACACAGGCTCGTGTATGGACGGCAGTGAAGCAGAAACATTAGGCTAAAATGGGAAAATGGCAGTGATCTGGGTGGTAGCGGTTATAAAGCGTTTAATGCAATATAAAGTATGAAGTGTAAAAAGATAGAAAAAAGCTTTTAGAAAGAGACCTGACGGAGGTGGCAAGTGTTACTGCCATTTATTTGTCAGAGAGACATTCCTAAATTTTGTCGCCGCTAAAAATAAAGCCTCTGAAATTATTTTAGAACTGCCTCTGAGAACCTGACCTGTTTGCACATTAAACCGGGAAGCGTGTTACAAGTTGTTCTTGTTAGGCCAGGTCTCATCAGCAGAGTGGCCCTGAGATGCTCTGAGGGCATCCCTCTCGCTCGGTTTACTTCACGTTAACAAAGCTTTTGCTTTTGAATTGTGCCCTGTTGTTAATCACTGTCATAAAAATTGGCTGTTTTAATGAGTGCTTCAGGGATTGTATTTCTCAGAAAGTTACACATTCACTTTTTATTCCTAAATCAATTGACTTTACTATAGATTCTAGACTTTCTGCATGTGATACAGTGAGGGTTTAGGAGAAAGTGAAGACGCTTGTCTGACCTCTACCTAAATGGTGTACTAATAACGTAGAAAATGAGAACGATTTTCAAATTCGTGTTAGCCTTCTTGATGCAATTGAGTATTAAATAAGTAATATGGTATGTTCAAACATATTTCAGGATCCATATGGACATAAGCCAAGCTAATTAAAATGGAAAGGTACCAGCATCTCCTCTCTAAATAAAACCGGTCCTGCTTAGTTGAATTTTACCAGGTAGACAGGACAGCAATCCACCCCCAAAAATGACCCTTTACCATACTGATCAGAGCTCCCATACTATTTTATTGGAAACATCTAGAAATGTTCTGACTACCCAGGAAGCGGTGTCATGTAATGGGACTAATTGATGTGCTGAGCTCTGAAAGTGGGAAGAATGTTGGTTTGGTTCCAGACGATTCTAAGAGCTTTTTAAGCTTAACTGCACAGAGTTCTTCTTCCCCTTTGTCCAGCCCTTGAGTTTTTATTCAGCCATGTTTCAGCCAAGATTAATGTAATTTTGAAGGGGATCAGAGCACGCCTTAGGTCTATTTTGTAATTCTCTTTACTATGTCAAGTCAGAGTAGGCTGGGTTTGCTACAGTGAAAAACAGTCTCCAAATGTGTGGCTCAAGGTTTATTTCTCTCATTAAATCCACTGTGGGTTTACTTGAATCTCTAGGGGAGCCGTCCTCCACAGGTGGCTTTGTACCTCAGATTGCTTTGATCTTAAGGCACCGCCATAGTAACCCAGGTTTCCATGATTTCTATGGAAAGGTAAGAATGGCCTGGAAACAACCTGCAATTAAATGCTTCAACCTGGAAGTGATGCACACTTCTTTTGTCAGAACTAGTCATGTGGGTACCTAACTTAAAGAGGGTGGAGAAGTATAACCCCCCCCTATATCTGGAAGTACATGACTACTGGCTGTCAGTGAACATTAATGATAATCTGCCATACCATTCTAAATAAAATGGTAGCCATTGTAAGAGGTACATGTGCTTTTAGAGTCATTTCTAGTTAAAGCTGGTGTGTGATGAGAGGCTATAGAGGTACCAAGTCTTTCCAGGTCACAGAATCAGAGTGGCTATGGTGAAAGGGCCCTGGACATCATTCAGTCAGTTGTACTTAGAAAGCATGTCACCATGGATGGGTTATCCTCTCTGACTTCTGGTTTCTCATCTGCAAAGTGGCGGTGCTCATTTCTGCCACAAAGAATTGTAAAGACTAAATAGTAGCCTGATGCTTGGTAGAGTGCCTGACACATAGGTAATCTCATACGGCAGCCATTATTATTCCTGTTCAAGTAACAGTTATTGTCTTATTCTGTGTTACAAAGAAGCTGAATTTCCAGGTTCTTCAAAATGACTGTCGGTCCTATAACGCTTTCATCGTTCTACCTCCAGTACCGGAGTCCTGCAAGAGGCAGCTGAAGCCAAATGAGCTAGTCAGTGGCAAAGACATTATACAACTTGGAGCTTTTAATTCCAACAACTGCTTATTTTTTTAAGAATAGATACTATTCTTAAGGGTAAGGGTTTTCTCTAATTGGGTACATCTCTTGGGCTTTTAAGGAGTTTTTCGGCACACCACGCATTAGACCAAAAACCTTCATGTTGTTTTTTCCCTGCCAAAACATGCATGGTAAATGTGCAGCCGTATCCCATGTTTCTCTCCTGGCTTACTGGCTACATGGCCCTTCAAACAACTATTGCACTGTGAGTGAGAATAACATTATTAGAGACATAATCTTGAAGCCATTCTAACATCTAAAAAGTCAACCATACCCAGTCTTCAGAATGTCCATGTTAGTAACAAATTACTTGTAATACATTTCCCAATTGTCACGACACCGTATTCAAGGCTCGCTGCCTTAGAAAGTAATACTTTCTGACGGTATTACAACCCATCCCTGTTGGACACAATCAGTGGGACTTAGGGATGAGGTTCTTGCGCAGTGGGCTCATTGCCTTGGGGGGTGCCACCCCTGTCTTATTAGTCTTTGTGGAGAGCAGCGCCTGGAGTTGTGTAGTACACAGTGGCCCTGATTAGAAGCGTAGCCCTGGGACCCATAGCCAGGGAAAAATTCTCCCCAGTCAGAGGAAAGAGGGAAAAGGAAGACAGCAGGTAAGAGCTCAGAGCTTGGAAAATGCTTCAGAGTAAAACTGAGTTACTGGATCTCTAGTTCCCAACATTGTCCCGTCCTCACTGAACTTGTGGGGTACAGGGTAGGGGATGGTTTGTGCCGATAGCTGTCATTGTTATTGTGGAATTCAGTTCATTGGTTTATAATCAAATTTGCTTGAATTTACTCAACCCCTAAATCTTTTTTCAAGCACAGTTTTAAGCAGGAGAATGTTCTGTTGACCTGTGATAGCGTATCACCGATAATACCAACACCTCTGAACTGCATATCAGAAATTAATACAGGGGGGAAAAATCCTGAAGGTTTTCGTGTCCTATCCATATACATAAATAGTACAAGCTTAAAAATTTGTGGAACCCCATTGTTTAGAGTAACATGAGGCCCTCTTTATAACTTCAGCGTAGACTCTGGGTTTCCTCTTCTACAGCTGTAAAATTAAAGAGGCCCGAATGGTGTTCTTTATCCCATCTGCCTCCTTTCTTTTACCCCTCTTCAAAGTCTGTCTATCCTTCTTTGGCTCTTTTTCAGATACGATTTCTTCTAGTGGGTCAGTAACTCATTTATGACTCTGGGGACAGGTGAATGATACAATACTTGGGAAATAAAGAAAGAAAAGAAAAAAAATCAGTCCAAGAAGACAAAATGGCAACATGACCCCCCCCCCTTGCTGAATAGCAGCCACATCTCCTACCCAGACCACATCTGCGTTTCCTACCTTCTTCTCAGCAACTGACCATGTTCCACATCACTGAGAAGGCAGAATGGCATATGATCCTCTTCATGTCCTTGCTCTCTGACACTCCATTTGAAAACTTTGTCATTGGATTTAGTTGTAACAGATGTTCAGCCATAAAGGTGAAGGGAAAGAAGAGGCAGCACAAGCAGACCCTGGCCAGAGACGTCTTGGAACTGAGAAAGTCTATGCAAAAGATGCCTCAGTGGGGCTATATATTGGTATTTTGGACAAAGCAACAATTATTTTTGTGGCCATTCTAGATACTTAGAATCTGCCCCCCTCCTCCAGTGCAGATAGAAGTTCCCTGTGATTATGGCAACCAAAATGATGACACTATTTGAGAACTGCTATTTGGAGCTACATTTCCAATCCCTCCCCAGTACTGTGTCTAGGTGACAACGTGTTATGAAGGATTAGTCACAGTACAAACCAAAGAGTTGCATGGAAGACGGGGCTAGGGAGAGATACCCATGCCATGGATGTGTGTGTAATGAGGACTGGTGTCTGGGACCCAAACGTTAAAAGATGGTTGGCATGGACCTCCTATGGACTACATATAACGGAGAACCATATGTATCCCCCAATGTCAAAATAGTTGAACCAAAATGATACAGAACTATAAAGTAATGCTTTTAGCCAACCTACCATATTATTTATGTCCGTATGAACTTTGTTCTTGGAATCCAGCACATACTTTGGTGATGCCACAATGACAATGGCCAATATATATTGAGTGCTGCCATGTGTTAGGTGCTGTGCTTTACGTGTATTATGTCACTTAATCCTCACAACCCTATAAGCAGGCAGTTATCTCCCTTCTACACATGTGGAAACTACGGCTTAGAGACAGGAGTTTTCCCCAGTAGAGACAGATCTATCTGGCGGCAGAGGCTGTGCTGCGGTGACTGGAGTGAATGCCTAGGAATTTACAAGTCCTGAGCAAGATGCACTTGCTGAGTTTAGAAACAAAGTAAGGAATCAGCTTCAAAATAAAGTGAAATAAATAAGCCGCGATATAAGAAAAATATATTAGCCAACTCCCAACATAACCACTCCAAGAGATGTCTTGGTGTTGTCGATGAGTCTGAGGTGCTTCGCACATCTGATTGAAGAGATCTGTATCTTTGAGAAATACAGTCAGGATACGGCCGAGGAGAATACTGTAATGCTGCACAGTAGTGCTGAAGTATCTTCATGACAGGACCAGACAGGTTAAAACCGTGAATCAAAAGTGCGTAGCCAGCACTGTCTAATGCAAAGATGATCCGTCCTCCCTTAGGACGGTGTGCTCCGCAGGGGGAGCCAGGTGCCCCAGGTTGACGCTCCTATTAAAGATCTTCTAGCCCCTGCTGTGACTCTCGGGTTCCAAGTCAACCTCTGTTGGTAAAACCTCTACACAGAGCTTTCAATGCCGTTTGGCATATGAGAACATTCTAATTTATCTGCCGTCCTCTGATGCATTCTTTTTTTTTTTTATAATTTTTTTTCAACGTTTATTTATTTATTTTTGGGACAGAGAGAGACAGAGCATGAACGGGGAAGGGGCAGAGAGAGAGGGAGACACAGAATCCGAAACAGGCTCCAGGCTCTGAGCCATCAGCCCAGAGCCCGACGCGGGGCTCGAACTCAGGGACCGCGAGATCGTGACCTGGCTGAAGTCGGACGCTTAACCGACTGAGCCACCCAGGCGCCCCTCTGATGCATTCTTTATTAACCCTTACTAAGTTTCTTCTCTCTACTTCTTTCCTCTAGCTCCAAAACGCTTCTACGAATGGCCTCGGTGTGTTTAAGACAAACACAACTTCCATTCTCAGCTGCATCTTTATATATGAAAAAGCCAACAAAACATAGCATTCTTCTGGTAGGAAATAGATATCATGGAGGGTTGACAGCCTAGATTACGTTGCCTTCCAGATTCAGAGTGGTGTTTTATGTTATTTAAGGCTCAATAGATTACCACTTGGAAGAAGAACGGAGGTGTATCTCATTTCCTCTCAAGGTAGCTGGAGCACAGTCTTTACTTTTTATGGTACCCACAAGCGATGAAGTATCATCCCAGCAGCAACAGAGTCTGTCTCTAATTGCTTTGGCTCTTTTAATTTTGATAACTGATTTTTTTTTCCTCCTTTTAGATGAAAGACTTTCGAAGCAAAATGCAATCAATATTTCCAGCAATCCCCAAGAACTCCGAATCGACTCTTGAGTGGGAGGAAGCATTGAAATCCAAATGAGATAAGCATGGTGAGGGAAGTCTAAAACGATTATTTTGGAAAGGGTGGCTTCAGAGATGCCACAGAAGCAAAGGGGCCTCGATTGATTTATCATCAGGAACATGTGCATTGTTGACTGAATTCATGGGATAGAAGGCGCTCAGTGTCCACAGAGGAGGCCGCCAGTCTGTGCGCTTTACTTTAAAATTCACATGGGCATGCGTGTGCCTAAGGTTTTCCCAAAACTGGGAAGACTATTTAAAAATAATCATATGGATAACCTCTCTGTGGAGAAGATCCCAGGAGAAGTACGTCTGTTTATAACAGCTGAAGCCAAGTTTTGTACCTGAAAAAAATGTATAATAACATATGATGGAAAATCTTTATAGACAGACTCCTAACCACACTTAGTACCTCAATGTGTCTAATTAAATGAGTTTCAACAGCGTTTCTTGTCTGTATGTGATTGTCAGGGCTTGGAAAGCTCACTCCTATTAGGCCGACTCCAGAGCAACAGGTTAACAGGTAAACCCTGTTTGTCAGGTAGCAGGTGTGGCTCTGTTGTCCTGAATTTGCTGTCCTGGCTTTGCACGTGCTAATTAGTCGCTGATGAGCTCGTCTCAAGGCTCTGGAAATTCTTGTGCATAGATAAGAAGCCAGTAACAGATCATGAGAACTTGGAAAAGTAGTCATGCTAAAATAATACGATACCATGCATATAAAATGTACTTTTTTGAGAAGTTGGTTCTGTGTCCCTCAACATTGACTGTTGTTTTACCTCAATTGTCAATGTGAAAAGAGTCCAATTATCACCTACCTTAACAAATTATTTTGAACCAGAAAGTTACCTGAGTATTGAGTCTCAATTTTAAGTAGTCAGTACTGCCTCCCTGATGAAACTACTGGTAAATTCTTCTATGCCCACCCAGCCCTTTCCTGTCCTCCATGATCTCTTCGAGAAAACAGAGAAAAATGTCTGCACGCAATTATTTTTTTTTTAAATTAACATTCTTTAAAGAAAAGTAAAAAGAGGTTAGAGTGGGAGAGAGCCAAAGCATAAGAGACTGTTAAAAACTGAGAACAGGGGCGCCTGGGTGGCGCAGTCGGTTAAGCGTCCGACTTCAGCCAGGTCACGATCTCGCGCTCCGTGAGTTCGAGCCCCGCGTCGGGCTCTGGGCTGATGGCTCAGAGCCTGGAGCCTGTTTCCGATTCTGTGTCTCCCTCTCTCTCTGCCCCTCCCCTGTTCATGCTCTGTCTCTCTCTGTCCCAAAAATAAATAAAAACGTTGAAAAAAAAAATTAAAAAAAAAAAAAACTGAGAACAAACTGAGGGTTTATGGGGGGTGGGAGGGAGGGGAGGGTGGGTGATGGGTATTGAGGAGGGCACATTTTGGGATGAGCACTGGGTGTTGTATGGAAACCAATTTGACAATAAATTTCATATATTGAAAAAAAATTTTTTTAAATAAAAAAAAAGAAATCTTAAAAAAAAAAAAGAAAAAAGAAAAGTACTTTCATATGTCAGTATACCCAGAAAAATATGGTTGGGTACCAGTTGTGCAACTTCTTTATAATTACTTAGGCTCTAATTAGCAATCAGGTTTAATAAAGTATATTTAATTTTTTTTTTCTGTTGTAATGAAACCTTTTAGTTCTAAGGAAAATTTTTAAGTGAAATGTCAAGTGCATAATGTAACATTTTTCTCTGGGCCAGCTTACCCTGTTAAAATTGCCATATTGTTAACTAATTAAACAGGTGTAAGCAGCATCTGGGATTCATATTTAACCTGTTAAAAATCTCAAGACTACAAGGAAGGGATTGCAGAATTTATCAGGGTATATGGAGAAGCAAAAACTTTTCACTCGGCTTTCATTTTTAACTAAGAAAAGATCTCTAGTCTTTGAACGAAATGAAGGAACAGGTTGTGTCGATATTATGGCCTGTGTCTAGGAGCTTGGTGGGCCCCATTCCCACAGGGTCTGGCTTGTGGGAGGCCTCAAGGCATGAATGTTTGGATACAGACTTCTGTTTACCCTTTTCATATACGTCTGTTGTCCTTGAGGGATGGCAAGGGGGCTCCCATAAGAACGATCGTGAATCACCCACAGAGGGAAGGTTGATGGGGACAGACTCCCAGTTGCATTTTAAAAGCAGAAGTGAAGTAACAAAGATGAAAGTTAAAAGGAAAACAAGCAATATGACTGACGTGGTATTTTTCTACAGTCAGAACTCAGATTTCAGAAGATTTAGTCATTTGTCTATTCCTTTTATACCAGAGGCATATTGTTAAATTGGTTAATGGAAAGGAAAAATGTTTAACAGATAATGTTATTCTTTATGTGAAGTACCATCTGTGTATTGAGTTCTGAATGTTCCTGGATATGGAAGAGAGGAAATGTTATGGAATTTCAAGTTTGCCTTCTTTGCTGTCTTTATCTTGGGTAGAGTATGACAAACATAATCACATTTATCTCCTGGAGCATAAAGAGTTTTAATCACCCTATTAACCAGGATGACATTTTTCACAGACTTAAAAAGGAATAGAACAGACATTATCTCCCCATAAGCAATCCATTTCATGGAGGCTGAGCACTAGAAATTTTTTAAAGGATGGATAACACAAGCCATTTCCACTTCACGTGTAAGCCAACATTCAGGCGGCTTTCCATAAGAACGTTGCTTACGCTGGTTGAGTGTAAGCTTTACGTTTAGAATCTCAGCACCGAAAGAGCTATTAGAGAAAGCAATGTAGAGAAAATGTAGTGGGCAGGGAGGGGCGACTTCCAAGGCCTCGGGATTCATTCAAGAGAAAAAAATGTATTCTGCTAAGTTATTGCTGCCCTGTAAAAATGTATCCATGGGCAGCTGTTATTTTCAGAGTCAAGAAAATACGATTTCCAAACAACCCCAGAATGAAAAAAATGGGAACTGCCTTACATGACGCCTACCAGCCTATGTCTACACGAAACAGGGATTCTAATGATCCAGAGCTTGAGTCAGCCACCTCCGGGCCCCCGCAGAGCTGAGGCGTGACCGCAGGTGACCCTCGTTCCATAGCAGTGACACAGGCTGATGTTGGCTAAAACCTTTCTCAGTGCTCAGTCAAAAGGTGGCATCTAATCACCTCGCCTGTCCTATGTTCTGCTTAGTTTCATGGACAGTATGGGACTCAGCTTGCAAATTAATCATGCAACCTAAGGGGAAAATATAAGAAATTAAAAAAAAAAAAAAAAAAAAGAAGCCCATAGGGACGAAAGTAATTAAAATCCACTGAATTTAGCTATTTCACTTGGGGCAAAATTTAATCTCTCCTAAGTTTGGTTCATGGAGAATGTTGTATATTGCCACCTATTTTCATGTATCTTCTTTAAAAAAAAAAAAAAAAAGCAAATAGTTAAGTATAAATTAAAATCAGCCAGGTGAAATGTAAAATTATTTCTCAAATAGTTAAATTCCTTACGAAAGGTAGTAAAATGCAGATTTTTATAGTATTTTATCACATTCGAGTGAGATAGTCTTCTTTCTGCCAAGAGTCATCGAATAATATGTCAAGTATTCAGGTCTCTATATTGGTGTTATCAGAATTAATTATCAAAGGCTGTGCTTATATAAGAGGAAAGTAAGCATCTCTCGCAAGCAGTGACATTAATCTGTGATAATGAGTGAGACCCGTTAGCAAATTTTGCCTGATGGAAGATAACTCGGTTTGGGAGAAAATGAGAATAGCAGTCACCAAGAAGCGCACAGAGTTCAACTCTTCTGCCCAAGTCGTAGCGAAGTGATTCAGAACCTAATTTGTATTTCTTACATTGGTGAGGCATGATCCCTTAACTCAAAAAAGAAAACAAAACAATAGTGAAAGCAGGCTAGAGATCGTCTGAGTGCTCTCAGTGACAGAAGGATAAAGGCCATTCTTAACCGACTTTCTTAAGAAGCTCAATCAGGCACACTGCAGAAGCTTAGCACATTTACGAAACACCTACTACCTGCTCGTCTGAAGACGCTGCAAAATTCATCTTCGCGCTGCCCCTGCCTGATGTCTCGGGCTCAGCGTGGGGGCCCAGGTCTGCAGCCTGACAGATGATATCCACCAGACACGTCCAGGTGACTGACCGTGGACTTGGGTCTCCAGCAAGCGTGGACCCACTGTCTGAAGAGAACAAGTGGACAGAAGTGAGTATAAAAGAAAGCTTGGATTTGCTCAGAAAGTCCTTACTGAGTTGTGTCAAACTCTGTGGAGTCCCTTTGCTCTGCCAACCCGGGTGATGAGAATGTGTTTATTTTTATTTTATTGCTACCGGTTGTCCTCTCCAATCGTCCCTGTTCTAGGGGCCAAATCCCTCTGAGCAAAGCCCCAGTGGTAGACATCCTCCCCTGGAAAACTTGGAGGGTTACCAGGGTGGACCATGACCACTGCCACCTTCACCTATCCTTCCAGCTCCCTTCAGTCCACAGTGGCCACAGCTACTTAGAGATCCTTTAGTTGGGATGGAGGTTACAAAGCTAAGAAAATTCTAGCATAGTAAATCTCATGCAAAGCTAAAATAAGACCTGTTGGCAAAAGGTAAGAGTGATTGAGGAAACCCTCTGCCCTGAGCTGGCTCGTGGGCCAGCCCTGACCTTCCTCATAGATGCTTATTACAGAAGATTGCAGTAAAGTATCTGTGGAAACAGTACAACAGCAAGCCTACCAACTCCTTGTTTAAGAGCAAGACTTTTTTATGCACCACAGTAAGTGAGGAGGGAGGCTCCACCCCGGCAGTCAAGAATGCATGGACGTAGGGCCCCTGGACCTTATTCAGGCTTCTCCAGAGTTGGAGGTCGATGGCACTTCAGCCTGCAAGATGGGGCTCTGACTCAACAAATCCTCTTGCACAGCAGTTTTCCCTGTGTCTTTCCAAATATCTCTCACGGCCAAAGATGTTCCCGTGGGAACTGTCCAAATTCAACATCTCTGACATGTCTACTAACAATGAGTTGGGGGTGGGATCCATATTCTCCACAGGAATCCATTTGCTTTAACTTCTCGGTATTCCTAATATTACCAAAGGAGCAGAGAGTAAAGGACTAGGTTGAAAACAGGTCAGATGAGACCTTGACACCTGCCTCCCCGACCCAGAAGCGGGCGCTCCTCCTTGCGTGGACTCTTCAGGTTCAGGACTATGCGCATCGGAAGGAGGTGGGGAGGGAAGGGAAAGGGGTAGAGAGGAGGAAGGAAGAAAAGAGGAGCGGGGAGGGAGGGACTTCCTCACTGGGAAGAGGGTCCATGCGTCCAAGACCACACCTCCAGCTTCTGCCGAAGCTGACATTTGCCTTCTCATCCATACTGACCACACTGACCTCAGCCACCAAAACTCAAGAAAATGAAAATCCCATCAGAATGATGAAAAATTAGTTTTTGAGGCAGGTCCTGGGCCCTTGCAGGGGTTTCTAACTCCGTCTTATGAC